ATTTTCCTAAGATAAATTTCTATATATATATACATATATATAAACTTTACTGGTTTTTGTTTCTCTGGAGAACCCAGTCTAACATAATAATATTCTGTCATTTCCTCCTGTGGTGTAGTAAATTACATGATATGGCTTTTCTTGCCATAGTCTTTGTAACTACCACTGGATGACTGGGTGGGACCATGCAATTTAAACTCCTGCTTGTTAATGTCATCCACCTGGGGCATTTCTCTTGGAGAAGCATGAAGTAATCTTCTGGGAAGGTTCACTCTCTCTCAGTTATATAGGACTCTGATGTTGGGATTGGTTGGTTTTGCCACTCTGCCAGACTCAAAATGAGCCCTCTTAGAGGCAGAAGGAATCTGACTGCCAGCTGAGAGAGATGCAATGCTGAGAGAAACATGCTGCTGAGAGAGATGTGCTTCTGAGAGAGAGATGCCTGGCTGAGAGAAGACAGCAGTGGAACCAAGAGGCATGAGACAGAGTGGCAGGCTTATCTGGCCCACAGAGGCAGAGGCCAAGCTGAGAGGCCAAGGGCCAGAGAGGCATGTCTAGGAGCACAGGAGAGGGGAGACTGTCTTGACCGAAGAACTGTATCCTGAGTGTGTTCCTGAATTTGAATTGTAGCCTGTTGCTTCCCTAATAAATCCCATAATCTATGAGTTCTGTGTGGCCGCAGCAGCGAATTATCAAACTCAGCAGATATGTGGCAGGTGCTGCAGAGGGGATGGTTGATGTCAGGCTTGCTAAGAAGCCTGGAGGGTGGCAGCTTGTCTGGCCTCATTGGAACAGGCCTTGAGCTGCTGATGGTGATTCTGTCTTCCTTGTGTGTAGTGAGGGCATTAGAAGATGCCGCCTCCTTACCTCTTTAGCAACTCCCTACTCTTACCTAGCTATCCTACCTCCAAATAGTAGGAACACTTTTGTCTTGGTTCTTTGTTATCTCTTTGGCATGTGTCACATTGTCTACTTTAGAGTATGTGGTATTTGCAGGCAGAGGTTTTGATTACTCATTTTTGAGCTAAAGCACCTAGTCCAGTTGTAGTATATAGTTGTTATTGTTGGTAGGTGCCATCAGGTTGGCATCGAGTCTTGTGTAACAGAATGAAATACTGCCCAGCCCCACACCATCCTCACAATCCTTGCTGTGCTTGAGCCCATCTTCGCAGCCACTGTATCAGTCAACCTTATTGAGTGTCTTCTCATTCTTTGCTGACCCACTTCTTTACCAAGCATGATATCTTCTTCAGGTCAGTTGTCCCTCTGACAATATGACCAAAATAGGTGAGATGAAGTCTGGCCATTCTTGCTGCCAAGAAGCATTCCACTTGCACTTCTTCCAGGATAGATTTGTTCATTTTCTGGCAATCCATGGAATGTTCAGTATTCTTCGTCAACACCGCAGTTCAAAGGCATCAGTTCCTCTTCGGTCTTCCTTATTCATTGTCCAGCTTTCACATGATTGTGTGAAAATCTAGGGGCAAATTTAGGGGCCCTAATATATAGTGCCTAAGGCACTTGACTGCTAACCAGAAGGCTGGCGGTTCAAACCCACCAGCCACTCCTCAGAAGGAAGGTTGGGCAGTCTACTTTCCTAGTGATACTACCTTGGAAACCCAAGGAGGGGTCGCTATGAGTTGGATCTGACTTCACGGCAGTGAGTAATATATGCCATAAAAATAAACTATCAGGCATAACTCCAAATCCACTAGCAGCAGAAGATAAACTAGATGAATGGGATCTTCTGAAAATTAAATTTTTATATGCTTCCAAAGACTTCTCCAAAACAGTCAAAATTTTGAGAACCCACAGATTGGGAAAAAGTATTCGGCAGTGACACATCTAACAAGGGACTTATCTCCAGAATTTATAGAAAACTCCAACACCTCAACAACAAAAAGACAAATAATCCAATTTAAAAATGGGCAGAAGACATGAATAGACACTTCACCAAAGAGGATATTCAGGAGGCCAAGAAACATTAAGAAATGCTCACGATCATTAGCCATTAGAGAGATACAAATCAAAACAACAATGAGATACCATCTTGACCCAGCACTAGTAGCAAAGTTCCACAAGACAAAAAATAACAAATGCTAGGGGGAATGTGGAGAGATTGGGACTCTCATACCCTGCTGGTGGGACTGTCAAATGATACAACCACTGTGGAAAGCAGTATGACAATTGCTTAAAAAGTCATAATTAGAAATACCATTTGACCCAGCCATTCTATTACTAGGTATATATCCTAAAGAAGTGAGAGCCAGGATAAGAACAGATGTATGCACACCCATGTTTATCACAGCAATATTTACAATAGCCAGAAGATGGAAACATCGTAGGTGTCCATCAGCTGAAGAATGGCTAACCAAACTATGGTACATAAATACACATTGTTGCATACCTGATATGAACCCCACTTGGTCATAATGAATTATTTTTTGGATATGTCATTGGAGCCTATTGGCTAGAATTTTGTCGAAGATTTTTACATCTATATTCATGAGGGATATCGGTTGTAGTTTTTCTTTTGAGTGATGTTTTTGCCTGGTTTTGGTATCAAGGTTATGTTTGCTTCATAAAATGAAGTAGGGAGGATTTCATCCTTTTCTGCGTTTTGGAATAGTTTGAATAGGATTGGTGTGAGTTCTTCTCTGAATGTTTGGTAGAATTCTATGATGAAACAGTATGGGTCAGGACTTTTTTTTTGTTGGTAATTTTTTTATGACCTGTTCAATTTCTTCTTTTGTTAGGGATCTGTTCAACTTTTCCACCTCAGTCTGTGTTAGTTTAGGTAAGTAGTGTGTTTTTAGAAATCTATTTCATCCAGATTTTCAAATTTGTTGGAGTACAGTTCTTCATAGTATCCTGATATTATTCTTTTTATTTCAGTTGATTCTGTTGTTATGTTAACCATTTCATTTCTTATTCATGTTATATGTCCTGCCTTTTATTAAATTTGCAAGTGGTTTGTCAATTTTATTTATCTTTTCAAAAACCAACTTCTGGTCTTGTTGATTTTTTCTATTGTCTTTCTATTTTCTGTTTCATTGATTTCTGCTCAAATCTTTATTGTTTCCGCTCTTCTGGTGACTGTATGCTTTTTTTGCTACTCTTTTTCTAATTGTTGGAGATGTTGGTTTAAAGTGTTGATTTAGGCTCTTTCTTTTATTTTTGATGTGTGCATTGATTGCTATAAATTGACCTCTGCTCACTGCTGATGCTGGGTCCCAAAGATTTTGCTATGTTGTGTTTTCATTCTCGTTTGATCCGAGGAATTTTTGAATTTCATTTTTTATTTCTCCTTTTACCCAGTGTTTCTTAAGAAGGGTGCTGTTCAGATTCCGTGTGTCTGCTCTTTCTCTGTTGATCTTCCTATTGTTGATTTCTAATTTTATAGCCTTGTGATCTGAGAAGATGGTTTGCAGCATTTCAGTGTTTTTAAATTTACTAAGGCTTGCTTTATGCATAACATATGGTCTATCATGGAGAATGTTTCATGTGCCCTGGGAAAGCATGTATATTTTGCTGGTGTTGGCTGAAGTGCTCTGTAGATGTCTATAAGGTAGACTTGGTGGATTGTATTGTTTAGCTCTTCTACATCTTTGTTGAGTTTCTTTCCAGTTGTTAATATCTTTCTTTTTATCAGCTTCTACAGTCTGAAATTGACCAAACATGCAATCAGGATGTGTTAATTATCACTGGTGACTGGAATGCAAAAGTT